CCTGGCCCCAGCCCTCCCCCGATTGAGTGGCCGCCTTGCTTGAGTTTCCTCCCGTAACTCGCCTTCCACGAGGCCCGCACAACCTGCATATGCGGCGGCGGCGCCTGCAGGCCTTCCGACGCGCACCATTTCCGCGCCGCGCGCGCTGCCCTCGGTCCTTTCCTCGCCGAGCCCCGGCAAGTCAGCGACAGGGTTGCCAAGATGGTTCGCGGGCCTAAGAAGCACATGAAGCGGCTGAACGCGCCCAGCCACTGGATGCTGGACAAGCTGGGCGGCATTTTCGTGAGTTATCGGGGCTCATCAGCGTGCAGTGCGTGTCACGGCGTATTATAGAAGTGTAGGGACGAACGCGGGCTTGCTTTGTGCCTATGGCACACGGGGCAGGGGGCGAGCAGTCCCGCCGTCTGGGGCGGCAGCCTAGCCTCATGGCGTCGTTGCAGTGCATCACGGTGTTGTACGTATCGTGTTGTTTGTTTTTGAGTGTTGCTCGACGCGGCAGGAGGCCCTAGGGAGCACGGCACAGGTGATGCAGCAGTGTGCGTGCTGCTGAGCGCTTTTCTTGCCTGTCTCGCAGGCCCCCAAGCCGTCGCCCGGCCCCCACAAGCAGCGGGAGTGCCTGCCGCTGCTGCTGGTGCTGCGCAACCGCCTCAAGTGAGGAGAGATCACTTTGGGAGCAGTGTTTCTGTCTGCAGCAGCGATCCCAGCCCTTGCGAGCAGCATACACGCAGCGTGTCAAGTGACGTTGTGCGGCGGCGTGGCTTACGAGGCGGGCGGCATGGCGCTGCGCTGCGCTGCTGCCGCGGCGACGGCCTGTGTTGGGCTTGAATGCTGCTGTGGCGCTTCTTCGGGCAGAAAGCGAGGCGGTGGGATGTGGAAATGCGGCAGCTGTGTAGCAGGCGCGGAAGGGGCATTTGGTACGAATGGCAGCGGAGCTGGTACTTGGGGCTGCGCAGCGGCAGCTAACCGATGGCGCCGCTGCTGCCCGCTGCGTCCCCCGGCGCTGTGTGCTTGCAGGTATGCGCTGACCGGCAAGGAGGTCAAGTCCATCCTGATGCAGCGCCTGGTCAAGGTGGACGGCAAGGTGCGGGAGAGGCGGCGGCCCGCGCGCCAGCGTGCGGACACATGAGGGAGTGGTCGGCTGGGGGTGGCGGCGCACCGCGGGTGGCTGGCCAGGCAGTTGGTCCCCATGGGGGGCAGGAGCAGCCGCATCAGGAGCAGCATCAGCAGGCTGTACGTGGCTGCAGATGGAGGCTGGCCGCAGCGGCTGCTGCTGCAACGGCAAGGCACCCAGCTGCCAGAAGCGCTATGCTGGCAGCGAGCAGGCAGGCACACGCACGCAGGTAGCGGGCAGCAAGCACCCGGGGTGCAGGCAGCAGCTGTGGAGCTTTCAGGCAGCAGCTGTCAAGCTTTCAGGCAGCAGCTGTGGAGCTTTCAGGCAGCAGCTGGGGAGCTGTCACGCAGCAGCCGTGGATGTGATGCCATTGACGGCTTTCAGCGCCCAGCACAGCGGACGGCTCTGCGCAGGCATATGGTTGGAAGCGGTGTGGCAGCTGAGGCAGTGATCAGCTGATTCGCACACAAACCCGCACGGCAGAAGCCAGCCCCAACCTGCCCGCTGGTCAGCAGCGGCTGCTTGAGGGCGGGCTTGTATCGTCGCTGCGCAGCGGCGCGGTTGCGTACTGCACTGGCAGCTTTGGCCAGTCTTTGCAGCTGTCAGGTCGCTGGCGCGTAGCGGCAGGCTGCCAGGGCAGCGACGGCGGTGTCGGCGATGTCGCCCCCGGTGCAGCAGCCCGGGCAGCTGCGGTGCCCTGCAAGGCACTTACAACAGCAGCCGCGGGCTTCATGCGCAATCCCCAGCTTGCCCTGTCATCTGTCTTTGGCCGCACCCTGCCCTGCTCACTCCTCCAACCGTCCCTGCTCGCTGCGGCCCACACCGCCAGGTGCGCACTGACACCACCTACCCTGCGGGCTTCATGGATGTGATCGACATCGACAAGACGGACGAGCACTTCCGCCTGGTGGGCACAGGAGGGGGGTATCCTCGTAATGGCTTTTGGCAGACATGGCTTGATGCGTCGCGCCACAGCGGTGTGGGCAGTAGAACGAGCAGCAGCGGCGGCAGCAGCAGCAGCNAGCAGCAGCGGTGGCGGCAGCAGCGGTGGCAGCCGCGGCGGCAGCAGCGGCGGCAGCAGCGGCAGCGGCAGCGGCAGCAGCAACGCGCAATTGCGGTCGAGGTCGAGCATCGCGTGCTGCGTCTGCGGCGCCAGCAGCATTGAGCTGGTAGCTGCGCAGTGAGGATCCCGATCCAGAGGACGGCCGGCGTGCAGCCGCACAAGCACAGCTCCACAGCCAGCTTGATGGGCCTTTTCCATGCTGACCCTATGGTCTCTCCCTCGCCCCGCCGCGCGACTCCNGCCAGGTGTACGACACCAAGGGGCGCTTTGTGGTGCACCGCATCTCGCGCGAGGAGGCGACCTACAAGCTGTGCAAGGTGCGGCGCCTGCAGTTTGGCAAGGGCGGCATCCCCTACATCGCGACGCACGACGGGCGCACGATCCGCTACCCCGACCCCGAGATCAAGGAGAACGACACGGTGCTGCTGGACCTGGAGAGCGGCAAGGTCAAGGAGCACGTCAAGTTTGACCT